TGGTGTGCCTTTGTGACAGGAATGGCATGAAAAGATGTCTGGCTGCTGGGTGCAAACAGGATTGGGAGAGGACAAATATGGAAAAGGACAGGTGAATTATGGTTTGTGTAGGTATAGTATAGGAAACATCCTAGTAGTATAGGATAATATGTTTAATAATTGTTGATAATAATATAGAATAATCGGGTTAATAATAAGTGACACAGAAAGGCATGGGTGTCAGAGAGAGATGCTATGGGGTTGTAATCAGTGGGATATGGACAAGAATGTGGACCGTGGGTGAGAAGAGCAAGTTGAGGTCAACTCTGACAAAAGCAGCTGGACATTAGGGACCACTCACTAGGATGGTGTGGTGGCTTGACACACCTGGGAAAAGGGAGCTTCGGTTGAGGAGTTACCTCCATCCAATTGGCCTGTCTGTGGGACATCTTGGTTGCTGATTGATGGAGGAGGGCCTACTGTGGGTGGTGCCATTTCTGAGCAGGCACATCATCCTGGGTTGACTAAGAGAGCGAGGCGAACAAACCTAGGGGAGAAAGCCAGCTGGCAGAGTTTCTCTCTGCTCCCTGCTTCAGCTCCTGCATGCAGGCCCCTACCTTGAGCTCTCCTGCCTTGGCTGCCCCCAATGATGGGCTGTAACCTGTAAGCCAAATAAACCCTTTCCTCCCCAAGTTGGTTCTGGTCAGTTTTAACACAGCTAGTACAGAAATGGGAATAACCTTACTTCTGAGGAAAATTGCCTCATTTTCTAGACATGCTAACTTTGAGGTATCTATGAGACTTTCCCAAAGAAGTGCAAAATAGAGTTCAGGAAAGGTAAATGAAGGCACAATCAGAGACATGGAGTATAATTGACATGAAGAACCATGGAGATAGGCTAAGATTACCCAGATAGAGGCTGTGAACAGAAATAGGCAGGGGGCCTGGTCACATAGGTCAGTGTGCTTTACCTTTATAGACTGAGTAGGATTACTAAAAGTGAGGATGGGAGAGGGGAAGTTGGTATCATAACATTGAAAAGGTATCAATACTTAACGGTGTAAGACAGTCCATGAATTTAATACTATGGAAGATTGATTAAGATCTGTTAGTATAGATGGTGCCGTTTGCTAAAGAGGAAAAGGTGGAAAACTGAGAGGAAAAGGATAAAGGCCCATGGAAAACAGAAAGACAGAATAGGCATCCACTCTTACAGGAAGTGGGCAGTGTCTCAGAAACAGGGAACAAGTCCTGGAAGAGAACTCAAGACAATTCCCCATCGTGAGTTTGAGGAAAGGAGATTTGAACTGAGTCTGGACTAGGTGAAAAGACGGGATGAGATTTAATCCATGGATAGTGGGGGAGAGAGCACTGTGGGGGGGAGACAGACAGAGACCGTGGTACCTGAAAACCAGCATGAACAAAAGCAAGCGAGGAGAAGCGGGCAGACGATGGACACCAAGCAGAGGCCAGTGCTACAACAGCTGGAAGCCAAAGAAGAGAGCCAGGGTGGTTTTCCTCTGCACAGACCCTCTGAAGAGCACCGTTTTCCTGTTACCATGACCAAATGCCTGACAGGTGCAGCCAAGGAAGAGAGATGTGCTTTGGCTCCCTGTTTCAGAGTTCCATCTGTGATGGCTGCAGATGAACATCGGAGGTGCTCAAGCTTGAGACAGAGGGAAACTATTCACAGCTAGGCAGGAAGCAGAGATGGGAAGCCAGAAGTGATAAACACCTCAAGAACCAACCACCAAGTGACCTAAATTCTCCAGCTTGTCCCCACCTCATTTCCAGGCTCTGTCTTCCATTTGTCATCTTATTTGGGATGCAAATGTCCACATAGAGCAAAGGGCCCATGACTGGCTGGGATGTCTAGAGCCTCCCAGATAGTACCACCTGCTGTCTGAATCATGAGCCAGTAGACTAGCGTCCTCTGCATTCTCTGCGTGCAGTCACAAAGGATCTGGAAAGACACGGTGGATATACAGGACCGAAGCAGGCTCCTCTTGACCTGTTGCTTCAAAGACTTAACAACTTGGACAATGTGTGTGCTACCAGTGACTGCTTTATCTCCTTTTCATTGCTTATTCATATCTCTTCACTTTTCTACATGTGTATGTGTGTGCATGTGTGTGTATGTGCACACAAAATCTTGATGCTCAAACTCTTGATATTCCTGCCCCAACATCCCTAAGGCAGGTGTAAACCACTATATGTCTGGCTTTAATGTCAACTTGCCACAAATTAGGATCACCTGAATAGGGAGCCATGCCTGAGAAGTCATGGTTGTCTGGATGGATGTGGGAAGCCCCACCCTGATTGGGGGTGGCACCTTCAGGGTTGTGGCAAAAGGAAGTCCTCTAGCCTTTCTCAGGATTGATTTCCCTCTAGTTGGGAGATGATTTGCTCTCTTCCTGCTGTTTCCTTCACTGACGGCAGAACCAGTGTTTCCAAGTTTTCATCATGAACTGGGGACCCGTTGTTCTCCAAGAACCTCTGGCTCCAGATTGGGACTGCTAAGGCACCGTGCCTATGGACTGTTGTTGGGCCACTTTCAAGAGATGTCCGAGTGGGACTTCTCTGATGGCTGAGCACCCAGACTCACAGACTGAGCAACTAGACTACCTGTCTCTCAGGTGCCATCCAGCCATTCCTGGCTCTTTAGGTGTGACTTGGCCATTCCTGGCTCTCAGGTGGGATTCTTACTATTTTAAAGATCACTTAATTGCTTTTTGTCCTATTGGTTCTGTTTCTCCAGAGAACCCTGACTAATACAGCTTCCATGGCAAGCTTTTACTTGAATGGCAGATTTCTTACAATAAATTCATAGCTGTGGGCTTGGGAGTTGAGGAGTGACACATAAGCCCCGGTTCTTTTTGTTTGTTTGTTTGTTTGTTCTAGAAACAATCTTATTTTACATATCAATCCCAGTTCCCTCTCCCTCTCATCCTCCCATCCCACCCCACATCCGCTCCCCAGGGAGGGTGAGGCCTTCCACAGGAGATCATCAAAGTTCATCACATCATTTGGGGTGGGGCCTAGGCCCTCCCCTGTGTATCTAGGCTGAGAGAGTGTCCCTCCATGGTGGCCCTGTTCTTACACTGCTGTATTGCCAGGTGCCAGTGGGGTATGGGGTTCCCAGAGTCTGGTGGTGGCACCATACCACACCTTAGGGATGGTTCTCTGGGTCCTCACTCTCACTAAACTAACCATAAATAACCCCACAAGGTGTTAGTTTGCTGGCACTGGAGCACACAGCCCCTCCATTATCAGGCTTTTCTATTCAATACAGATAGCTATACACTCACTGCTTGCTACCTCAGGCTGGAAAGAGACCCCTTAGTCACAAAGCTCCAACCACCCCTCCCCCTACAAAGCAAGAGCCCATCTTGGGCTCCACATACTTATCAGTGGCTCATAGGTGCCCTTCATGCCCCGACTCAACCTGATCTCAGAAATAAAGGAAAATAACTAATGGTCTTTCTTAGATGAGCCCACTACACTGAGATACATGTAACACACTGACGTAATCACTACACATATACATATACACCTTGCCCCTAAGGATGTCCATTTGGTATCAAATGGGTCTTAAATGGCTGGCTTTACATGTATGGTCTTAATTACCACAATAACCCAACAAGAGCAGCAATATTAGCCTCCAGTTTACAGATGGGGAAACTGGGGCTCATAGAAGCTAAGGAAGTAGCTCAGGGGCATATGAGGATGGAGAAGTATTGGAATCTGAACACACCCACCACATACATGTAGTATCCATGGAATAATTGCTTTTGTTTAAAGGGCCCAGTGGGCTGCAGAAGAGCCCAAGGGAGACACCAGCACAGAAAGGTGCTGCCTACACACTGCTCTGGACTGAGGGCTGCAGATCTTCTCTGGAATTGAGACCCCACCTCTGTTTCTTGACTTCAGGTTCAGCAATCATTCCCACACCTCCTAGCCAGCAGCAGCTGGCCCTGGATAGTCATTTCAAAGACCTTACAGTACATAAGGTAGTTACACAGGAGGCTGACTTTTGACAAACCAATACAGGACTCGCATGGATGTGTGGTCTCTCTCTTCAGCATGGCCATAACCACTACGTGTAGGATCTGCCAATGACTCAAGGACAAGGTGGTGGAAGGGGACCCCGGGGACCCAGGTGCCTGCATCTGAAAAACCAGAGGCAAACATATGTAAGCATGCCAGCACTGCACGGGGCTGATCTTCCAGCCAACACCACCTCGCAGATGAACTAACGTAATTGCTTGGGCTCGGGTTTTGAAACTTAACATCAAGCCTGTACCCAAATATTAGTCTAGCCAATCCCCTCCCCCCTCCCCAGCCACCACAGGTTTACTTATATAAACAAATCATGTTCCCCAAGAAGGAGTCTGGAGCTGACCCGGGCCATTGTTGGGAAGGCAATTACCGTAATGAGGGAAAGCTAAGTGAATGGAAGGCTGCTCCAGCTGCTTTGTTGATAGAGGGTAATAAGGGCGCTGCCTGAGCACAGAGTTAATTTGCACTTTTCTCCACAAGCCTGGTGCTGCCCAAGCCACAACTACCCTTGGAACTGAAGCCCTGCTAATTACTCATGTTAATTACCCAGCCCCCGGTCAGATCCTGAGGCTGGTTAAAGGCAGTGAAAGACTAGGCGGCCCATGATTCTTGCTTAGAGCTGCACAGAGGCTGTGGCTGGATGTATAAATCTCTCTGATTGGTGCACACCCTCCTTTAAGAGGCATTAACTCTGCAGGGGACTAAGTTTCCTGAGAGCACTATGCCCTGTTCCCTCCCCGGGTCTTGTGAGATCCCTTGGGATTTTCTCTGTATAGAACATGCCAACGGGGAAAATGTTCACAAACATAACTAAACAAATTAGATTAATAATTAACAAGCTGGGTGTGTTGGTGTCCGTCTGTAATCCCGGCACTCAGGAAGCAGGAGCAGGAAGATTTGAGTTCACTGCTAGCCTATCTCCAAAAGGAAGAAGTAAAAAACAAAACAAAACAAAAAAGCCAAATGGTTCCACCCTGTATGATGTTTCCATTTACATAATATTTTGGAAAAGACAAAACCTTAGGATACAGTCCTGGCCAGAGGTTGCCAGAGGTGAGGGTGGTAGTGACAGCTGACCACAAAGGGGGAGAATGAGGGAGTTTGGAGGGGCACTGGGCTCCTCTGGATATGATCATGAGATGTGTATATCATGTGATATACATACGGCAATGGTATTCGTTTGTTAAAACCTATAGAGATGTCCACTGCAAAGAGTGAATTTTACTGTGTAAAGTTACAGAGAAAAATGTAAGAAGAGGCGGTAAGATTTGCTCTTACTCTTTATGACGGCAATTCGAAAGTATGTCATTACTGCTAGGCACTGCTAAGGTATCTCTTTCCAACACAGGAAATCTTTGAAATTCTAGCCCATGAAACCACATATGGGAATGGGAGGTGTGGCTTGCCCCCTTCGTGTGTAATGAGTGTCCTGCCTGAATTGCTTCTGAAATGACAAAGCAGGTGTGGACTTACTCACACTCACATACCCATGTTCAACTTCATCTACAAAATCAGATCAGCGCAATTTTCCACCAAGACCAGTCAAGTCCTAATCTCCATGACGCCAAAATACTTGGCGGCAAAATAGAAAGTGCAGCCCGTAACCAGATGTTTTGTCTCTCTGTACCCTTCCAGTCTATGTGACTGATCAGAGACAGGTTTCAGATTGTGTAGCTGGTGCCAGGGAGACGCCATCCCTGTTGGCAGCTCTCTGTAGTGATACATTTTCCGGGTGGTTTCTCGGCTGCCTTCACTGGGGCAGCAGGGGCCTGAAGTTCTCTGTCGCCTGGTGTCAACAGCTGTTGACAGACACATCACTGAATTCATGATGAGTTACAATATGCACCTCACTTTTATCCTTTAGGAGGCCTGCAAGGAACTCCTCTCAAAGGTTTGCAGCAAAGCCACAGTGGTCATTTCCTATCGCAGCCCCTGAAAAGCTCCCGTTTCCAGGTAAGCACACCAGCGCTGATAGACAGCTTGCATTCATTTTTGAGGTTGAGGACTTATTCAACAGGGTAAATACTCCTCAAGTTTACAAGTCCAAAGATGAGTAGGTTCTTGTGGCTTCACTGGGGGTTATCAGGTTAGGGTTGACAGATGAATGTGAGAAGGCACAGTTTATACCCATGGTTGTTTTTGTTTTCCTTGTTGAGAATATGATCAAATCAGATCTTAAGAAGTTTACATGTTTGTGGCTGGCAGGAGGCAGGCATGCCTATTTTGTTGCAGAAGCAAAAGGAGAGATACAGAGACATATTCCAGGGACTGCTCTTCTGGCCACAGTGAGCCCTGCTACTGTGGGTGATGGAGGGAGTTACACTCTAGGAGAGCCTTTCCACAACTTCTAGAACCACAGGTTCTTGGGGCAGCAGAAGTCTTAAGCTGGTCCTGGTTAGTTTTTCTTGAATTCAAAGACAAAAGAACACTAAGGTAGCATAAAAGAAAAAAGATAACAGAAAGGAGTTTATGCAAGGAAATACACAGAGTCTAGAATCAAAATAGCAAACAAACACAAAACAGCAACAAAAACCAACAGCTTGACTCAATCTCACCCTTTCTGCCTCAGTACATTTGCCTGTTCCCTCCAAGATCTCCTGAGAATAAACCCATGCGGGCAGAGGAGTGAGACAGCTTAGTCAGTAAAGTGCTTGCCAAACATGAGCATCCAAGTTCAGGGCTCATGTAAAGAGCTGGGCATAATACAACTTGTGTGTAAGGAACTCCATCATGGGAAGGATGGAGACAGGGGGCAGACACAGGAGTGTCCTGGGGATTCACCAGGCCTCACGGAACTGGTGAGCCCTGGATTTCAGTGAGAACCCCTGTCTTAAAACATCAGATGGACAGCAACGGAGGAAGACACCCATCATCAACTTTGACTTTTAAGTGCACATTCACCTGTTCTCTCTCTCTCTCTCTCTCTCTCTCTCTCTCTCTCTCTCTCTCTCTCTCTCTCTCTCTCTCTCTCTCTCCCACGCACACACACACACACACACACACACACACACACACACACACACGCACGCACACACACACCTCACCTTTCAGAGGCTTTGGTATTTCAGCCTTCCCTAGCCTGTCAGGGTTCCTCCATTCCTTCAGCATCAAAACCCTTGGAAACTTGTTGCTTCACCCTGAAGTTCTTAGTTCCAAAGGCCCAAAGAAAATATGATTTGTTGAGTTCATTTTTGTTTCATGCCAGGCCTTATTACATTGTCAGTGTCAGCCAGTAAGTTGACAGCCCTGATGCCAGAGGCCAATCCAAACTGCTGAGTCTGAAATAGAGTAACATGGCTCCAATTGACAACCTCTTAAGAAATAATGAGGGGGAGGGAGAGAGAGGGAGGGAGGGAGGGAAGGAGGGAGGGAGGGAGGGACGGAGGGAGGGAGGGACGGAGGGAGGGAGGGAGGGAGGGACGGAGGGAGGGAGGGACGGAGGGAGGGAGGGAGAGAGACAGAAAATGGCAAATATTCACAGACCTTCTGATTGTTCAGCAGAGGTCAGAAATCATATTTTACATAAACTCTCCTAACAATATTGGCTCAAATTTCACAAATGGGGCAAGGACAGAGGGAACAGCAAAAGAGTCCCTTTTCCACCATCAACTGGATGACGCTCAGGGCCCACCTCTCCTGAACAAGCAGCAGGGAGGGGACATTATCAGTCTTAAAGGAAACCAGCTCTGGTCATTTAAGATTCTATCATGGGCTGTGAGGTGGTGGTGGCACATGCTTTAATCCCAGCACTCAGGAAAGAGAGACAGGTGGATCTCTGAGTTCGAGGCCAGCCTGATCTACAGAGTAAATTCCCGGACAGCCAGAGCTATACAGAGAAGCCCTGTCTCAAAACAAAAGGAAGGATTCTGCCATGGGGGAGGCGGGAGCTGTAGTGCAATGGCAGAGTGCTCTAAGACTGTGAGCTAAGCCCAGCACCAATAAATGAATGAGATTAAGTCAATTTCCTTTATCATTCGGGACTCTAAAGCCATCTCCCTTCTAGCATGAGAAAAATCTGAAGGCCTGTTCACCCAATATGCCTGAGGACACACCCTGTTGACATACCTTCTTCTCCTTCCATTTCTTCACAAAACCCTCAGGGGATTCATTCCCTTTACCATCCTGGTTGCCCATCCCTGAATACCCAAGTCATTAAATGTCTTGTTCTATTTGTAGGAATTCGGGCCTATCTTAATCATTCAGGCTGCTATAACAAAACACTCTAGACTGGGTAACTTTTTTTTTTTCTGAGACAGGGTTTCCTGAAACTCACTTTGTAGAGCAGGCTGGCCTTGAACTCAGAGATCCACCTGTCTCTCCTTCCTGAGTGCTGGGATTAAAGAAGTGTGCCACCACTGTCCAGCTTAGACTGGCTAATTTTTAACAACAGAAATTTATTTCCTGGTGTTCTGAAAGCTGGGGAACTCACAAAGCTATCTCAGATTTGGTGTCTTGTGAATACTGTGTCTACCTCTAGATGGGACTTTTTCTTTTTCAAGACAGGTTTCTCTATGTAACAGCCCTGACTGTCCTGGAACACACTCTGTAGACCAGTCTGGCTTTGAATTCACAGAGATTCACCTGCCTCTGCCTACTGAGTGCTGGTAATAAAGACATGTATCACCACTGCAGATGAGACTTCTTAATGAACCCTATAAGGGGACAAAAGAGTCAACCTCTTTTATAAGGGCACTAAATCCCAGTAAGAGGGGTGCTGTCACCAGGCAGTGATGGTGCACGCCTTTAGTCCCAGCACTCAGAGGCAGAGGCAGGTGGATCTTTGTAAGTTTCAGACAAGTCTGGTTTACAGATTGAGTTCCAGGACAACTAGAGCTATACACACAGGCGCGCGTGCACACACACACACACACACACACACACACACACACACACACACACACCTCAAACAAACAAAAACAAAAAACAAAAAAAAAGGCTGTATCTACATGTCTTAATTAGCTCCCAAGTGGTTCTTAGTGCTGCTACATGGCAGGGTCTGAACCCAGAGATTGTAACATGTTTTCAACTTAAAACATCATACCTCTAACATAACTTAAAACTGGAATCTAGGAAGCAAGCTCATATCATCAATTCCTACTGTGTATAATAAACAAGCTCAGCATCCAGGCGTTAGTGACCCACGCCTTTAATCCCAGCACTCGGGAGGCAGAGGCAGGTGGATCTCTGTGAGTTTGAGGCCAGCCTGGTCTACAGAGCGAGTTCCAGGACAGCCTCCAAAACAATACATAGAAACCCTGTCGCAAAAAAAAAAAAAAAAAAAAAAAAAAAAAAGCTCAGCAAAGGTGTGGTATTAATTTGGGGGGTACTTATCTCCTGGCCACTTTCTAAGAGGGATTTTCTTTTCTCCTTCCCCCGGTGAAGTGGGGTCTTTGAAATCTGAGTAAATAGAGGCTGAGGTGGCAGTTGGAAAAGAGCTTGCTGGTCCTGCACCAGAGACCTGAGTTTGATCCCTCGAACCCCAGTAAAAATAAATCTGGGCATAATGACCTGCACCCGTAACCCCAGTGCTGGGGATGCAGAGACAAACAGATCTCTGTTTGCCAGCCAGCCTTGGCAAATCAGCAGACTCTAGGTTCAGTGAGGGACTCTTAAAAATTAAAGTGAAGAGCAATTGAGGAAGACGCCTGACATCCTCTGAGGCCTTAGCACACACATGCATGCACACATCAGCTTTCACGTCCATCACTCCCACTAAGCCTCATCCTGTTGGTTGTCACTGGGTCCATCAGAGACTGCCTTCCTGAAGCCCTCCCATTCTTGTTGCTCTTGGGCAACCTGCTAACTCTCCCCAATAGCATCCTCATTGGCTACTCACTACGCATCTCATGCCACAGGCATGGCAATGTTAGTCTTATTGGGATTTTCAATTTCTTCTCATTCTTTGCTGTTTCCCTCACAACATCACCAGGATTTCATTTTGATCTTAAGCCTCGGTGCTTCTCCCCCCACCCCACAACTTCTTTGCATGCCCTGGCAGTCTGGCATTTTCCGTGGGAGCTTTGAGGCCTCTGCATCTGAAGTTCGGGGTACATATCTGGGTGTTCTGTACATCTCTTCAGAGTGAGACAAGCAGGCATTTTCTCCTAGCATCCCATCTCTGCATCTCCCATCAACGGTCCTTTGTTGAACAGAATTTAGTTCCCAGCAACAGTTTCCGGCATTGCTCCTTCTGGCTTCTGAGAATTAAAACAGTCAGCATGATCTGTTTTCAGCTATGATGGAGCGGATGATATCAGATTAATTCCCCACTGAGAACAACTATAATGCTGGATTAGATACAAAGGCCAACTGTTGGAAGGCCCTGGAAAAAAACCAAAGCAGCAAAGGCCTCACAGAGAACAAAATCCTCAAGACACAAGAAATGTATTGACAAATGCCTACCATTCAAGACACAGACCCCCACAACACTATATACAACCTAAGATATAATACACATGCATACTATACAAACCAACTCATACCATAAGCACCCCACCATGTCATACACACCCTATTCACAGTGTACATGCTCCATTACTCCATGCATACCCCACAGACATAACATACACACAAACAAACACAAACACAACATACACACCTCAACACACATACCCCATCATGACATAATACTGCACCCGTACTGTACACACTCCACCATATCCATACACATACGCACACACACACACACACACACCATGCATACACAGCGTGCTGGCTAGCTTTATGTCAACTTGATACAAGCTAGAGTTATCTGAAAGGAGAGAACCTCAAATAAAAAAAATGCCTCCATAAGATTCAGCTATAGGACATTTTCTTAATTAGCGATTGATGGGGGAGGACCCACTCCATTATAGGTAGTGCCATCTCCCTGGGCTGATGGTCCTGGGTTCTACAGGTTGAACAAACCATGAGGAGCAAGCCAGTAAGCAGCATTCCTTCATGGCCTCTGCATCAGCTCCTGGCTCCAGGTTCCAGTCCTGTTTGAGTTCCTGTCCTGACTTCCTTCAATATGAACAATGATATGGAAGCATAAGCCAAATAAACCCTTTCCTCCCCAACTTAATTTTTGGTCATGGTGTTTCATTGCAGCAATAGAAAGATTAACTATTACACACACACACACACTCCCATCCATATATCCATATATCACACATAAAAAACACACATTGTGCATATACACATCACTCACATACATGCCATACTACCATGCCATCTACACACCACATATACATATACACACATACCACACACACACACACACACACACACACACACACACACAATGCTGACTTCTCAGTCATGTGTGTGCTGACCTGGTATCACAGGTCAAGTTGCTTTACACCAAGACTGAGTGAGCACTATGCACTTGGGAAGTCCTTATAGAATCAACCTCTATGGAGGGAGAGGAAGGAAATAGGACTTTGAGGCCAGCCTCTAATGATGCTGCAGAGAGTTCTGGAGCTGGAGAAACCCTTTATGATTCTTCAGAGTCAGTGCCAGCATTAGATGCTAAACAGAGAAAGAACCTATGGCTACCCTGACCACAGGAAAGGGAAGAATTTTCTTCAGGAGAGAAAATCCCCAAAGAGAGCTTCCAAGTAGCAGCCAAGCAACTGAGGTCAAGGGGCCTTCACTCCTGGTGGATTTAGACTGTGATTCATAGCAGCAGCATACCGAGGGCTCAAGGTTTTAATCTGGTTTCTACGGAGTGAAACCAACATGGAAAGCTGGAAGTCCCACTCTGCTTTGGCAAGCTAGAGATCTGGGAAAGTGGTGGTGAAGTTCAGTATGAATCTACTGGGCAGAGAGCATGTGGGTGGGACAGCAGGGATAATGGTGACAGTGGTGACATAAGCCCTGGACAAACACTGAACTTGAGAGCCAAGCACACCAAGGCAGAGGCAGATGCGTGGCCACACTTACTGCACTTCTGCCCTTGGTTCCATTCTGACCTTCCGTGGTGGGCTGTATGACACCCGCCCACATTGGCAGGGCAACCTTCATAGCTCAGTGTACCCATTCACATGCTAGTCTCAGGGACACTCACATATACAGCCAGAAAGAAGGCTGTGTGTCTCTCGAGGCATCCCTTTATCCAGGCATGGAATTAACTGTCACAGAAGCCAAGCAGAAATCACTCACTGAGGGATTAAAAGCTAATCATTAATTTCCATAGTCTTAGAGTACTAGAAAAAAAAACAAACAAACAAAACTCAAGTTCAGGGTATGCCGTGAAAGAAGGGTGCAAACAAACACTCGGGCTTCCAGCTGAG